TTCTTCCCTGGCGAGTCCATCCCTTCCTCTCCTGTTTCCGGTGAATGCAAATATGCAATGAACTAAGATGATGGAGGAAGGAGGCTTGATGATATTAAAGATAGGGTTTAGAGGGAGAAAGAACGTCGGAAACGGGAGAGAAAGAGATGGACTCGCCAGAAAAGAAGAAAAGAGACGTGAAACGGCCAAAATACCCTCATTATTTTAACTATTAAAATTTTTCGACGGAATTTGGCCGTCAATTTGGCCGAAGAGACTAAAATTGACAAAAATTGTATAGTTAAGGTACTAAATTGACACTTTTAAAAGTCAGAGGCTAAAATTAACAAGACCCCTATAGTCATATGACCAAAATTGAAATTCCCTCATTTTTTTTTTAAAGTTGATATTATTTTGAGATATATTAGAAAGAAAAGTAATGCAAACAAAAATTGTAGAAAGGAGTAGTAAGGTAGTGTTTGATTGTACGTACACTTGACAAACGAGATACAAATATATATGAGCAAAATGACTACTCAACATATTTTTTAATATCAAACAGATAGAATTAGAATTAGATTATGAAATGAAGACTTTTCAACAACATATATTATTTAAGCCTTGAATGACGAGTAGAGCATGAGTTTCAACATGGATTTATCAAAGTTTTGAGATTTCTGCCAGCCGAGCTGAGTGCTTCACGGTACGGATGGCCATAGCATGTGCTTCCTTTGGAGAGCATGAGCCTTTTCAATATATATATATATATATATATATAGACTTTTGTTCAAATGTGGCCGCTTGACAAAATACACCAACAGTGTTAATAAAAGGCACCAATAGTATTAGGAAAATATAGAACAATGAAATGCACAAATACATCAAAAAACACACAACACACCAAAAAAAAAATGCACCATATAACTCTCCCCCTAATGGTGTATTTTTCAAACACCGTGTGGTGCTTTTATTCCTACATAATAGTGTATTTTTGGTGATGCGTACTAATTTGTGCATTTTGTTGTTGTGCATTTCTTAACATGAATGGTGTATATTTGTATAACTATTGGTGCAGCCACACCGACTGCACGGGAAGGCACGACCACACTTGAACTCGACTATATATATATATATATATATATATATAAACATAAAATTTCAAAAATAATACATCTAATATTTCACTTTAAAACTATAATGCGTTGATCATGCTTAGATGCAAAATCATGCACCTAATTCTAATCATACATTCCAAGCACCCATTCTCACAAGAATGCAGTCAAATGCACTATGTACTGAACATAATAATGTCCATTTTTATAGTCACAAATTAAACCTGAAGCACCCACAAGCTTAGCAATGCTTCTAAGCAAAACAAGCCAAATCCAACCAGATAGAATATCTGCAAATAAACAATATGGATATCAAAGATATATATGCTACTCAAAAGGAAAAAAAAATAAACAATATGGATATCAAAGATATGCTACTTGGAAGGGAAAAAAAAAACATTATAACCGCACAACTTACCCCAACCAATTCGTGATCAGAGAAGATGTGAATTGCAGCAAGGATGCCCCTGGAAAAGATGGAAAGTAAATGCAAATGAAGTTTCAAGAAAGAAAACCAATTTTATAGCATTTCAGACAATAAAATCTTTCCAGTGCACCTCCCTTCTAAAAGGAGAGCTTGCATCTATATACCCACTAGGAACCGAAACTAAAGTTTTATCAACTAACCAGCTTTTTAACCTGTAGATTGGCAAAATAGTAATCCTCTGGTCAAACTACACACCAGCATGCATGAATGCAGCCATGCTCTTCTCTTAAATAACAGAGTTTAAGTACTTGAAAATCACACGCATTAGCCATTCAGCAGCTAATATATATCAAGTCAAGCCACGAGTTTTCTTAAAACTACAACAAAATCTCACCTTTAGTTCAGTATTAATTGTTTAGCTCCTTAATGGCTTTGGAAGGAAGCCAATTCTTTTGTTCTCAAAGTGACAAAAACATACCCTTTATTCTGATTTGGTTCCTTTCCCTTCATCTGGCCCTCCGCATCTTATATAACTAGAAAGATAAGTTTGTGAAGAAACTCTGATAGATGGAAGCACAGAAGCCAGAAACATTTGCAATAAAATGAAGAAAATTGTGGAAAGGTGGAAACAAAAATAAAGGCCAAGTGGATTATATTTCCAGAATAAGAATCTCAAATGAATTTGCTCCATGAGATCGATATAGCTCAAGTTTCAATGTGATCAATTCAATAAAGGGTTGAAAAATACTACACATATACAAACAAAGACAAGTAAGATAGAATGCTGAATGATAACAAGAGGTCACACGTCTCAGACTCAACTCACAACTCAGAACCACACATCGTTTGTGAAAAAAAAAAAAAAATCCTCTGCTGTATTATTAATCACATTACATTCATTGTATCAAGTGGTATATCAACAATGGCATCATGTTTCTTACCAAAACCAAGAGTGTTAGCAACCAATTGAGGAATGCGAGATTTTGATCCTGGAGCATTACCACCATTCTGCAAATGAAAGACATAGAAAGTGGCTGTCTACTGTATTTTTTATTATTTTTTTTCTTTTTGGGAGTGGATTTCTATATTCTCGTTTATCACAGATGTACATAAGCTGTGTTTGAGTGATCTGAGATTTGAAACTTCCAGTGAATTTATATAGAAATCATCTGATCTCCAACTTCAAATATCTCAAGTTTTGCATAATAGTTAAACGAATGCCTTCATCTATGAATAAACTTTGTCTATTTAATCAGAGATGGTGACATTCTAATAGGATTTCTGGGATTGATAATCATCTATTTTGCTTTCTCAATGTTGGAACAGATAAAGGTCAGTTGCTTACTTGTTTGGCCTATCTATTACATAATACCATATATGATGCTAAATTGCTAATTGCTAAAGTATGATAGCTATAATTAGTTAAGCCTACACCATTCTTGAAAGCATAAACAGACTTACATCAATGATTTTCCATGAAAGACAATTGGAGGAGCTAAAGCAGCAAATATGCAAAAATCCAATATGGAGCTTCAACACAAAATTAAAGAACTTATGTAACAACCATATGTACCTGGGCAATTCCTGCAACATAAGGAGCTCCGATCCAATCATCACATTGGAAGTGTAACTCCTCCTTTCTGCGCAATTGATTGTCCAGAAGATTTCTCATCTGCCTGTGGCTTTGCAAGTGCGCAGTCCAGAACTTTACCTATCAGAATGAGATTGGACATCAGACCAATTACACTTTAAAATTATAATATCAAAATATTAAATCAAATGAGAAGACCAGAAAGCCATTATCACCATCAATTTCATATTTCTCAGTGTTCTTCTTCATGGCACTCCATCTTTCAGCAAAGTGAACAAAACCATATCTACTCTGATCTTTTCATGCCCAGCTTTAGCTGGTGTTAGATCAGAACAACTTTAGTAATCTTCCCATGATGTTCAAATAAATTTTTCAACTCATCTTCAGTAATATTTCTGGGCAAGTTCTTTACATATACAGCTTTAACCTGTAGATTGGTAAAACTACACACGAGCATGCATGCATGCATGCTGCCATGCTCTTCTCTTAGATAACAGAGTTTAAGTACTTGAAAATCTGTTGTGTTCTCACGTCACGGGCAAGAAAACATAAGGAAAATTGAATAGAGAATAACAATTGGAAAATAAAGAGAAGAAAACATTGAGTTTGCTTGAGACCCAAAACTCCCTTAGACCCTTTTTGGGATTCAATTTCTGCTTGCATTATTCTCAATAATCTCCCTTTTTATAGGGTAAAATACAACTCATAGAATGGCTAAATAAGCTAAGTAATCTGCTGAAATCTTCTAGTTTATTTCTAAATAATTAAACTACCTAAATTAATTCGAAGACTAAGAATAATAAGTTAAGTAACTATTTAGTAATTTCTAAATAACTATTTATTAGTTTCTAAATAACTATTTAGTAATTTATTAATATCTAAACTATGTAATATAATAAAATAAGATTTTCTAAAATCCTGGTCCCAAGCATGTATCAAAATCACACACATTATCCATTCAGCAGGTAACGAGTATAATATATGAAGTCAAGCCACGAGTTTTCTTAAAACACATCAATTGAATCAAAATTATGAAAGCGCCAGAGGTGTAAAATTAGTTATTACAACACACAAAGTGAAAGAGGACATTAAATTATATTGGATGGTGGTTGAATACACTTCACACATCATCAATCAGTTTAGTCAGGTTGCAATATTAAAGTAGACATGATCAAAAATACCATTTATTCCTTATTAGTGGAGAATTTCATTAGCAGAAATCATCAAAGAATGAGGTTGAAAAACTGATAGCAGAGTTTCTTTTAAGATTTTTTTTTTTTTTTTTTTTTTTTAAATCCTCTGCTGTAGTGCTGTATTATTAATTACATTACATTCATTGTATCAAGTGGTATATCAACAGTGGCATCATGTTTCTTACCAAAACCAAGAGTGTTAACAACCATTTGAGGAATGCGAGATTTTGATCCTGGAACATTACCACCATTCTGCAAACGAAACACATAGAAAGTGGGCGTCTACTGTATATTTTTTTCTTTTTTAGAGTGGATTTCTATATATATTCTCGTTTATCACAGATGTACATAAGCTGTGTTTGAGTAATCTGAGATTTGAAACTTCCAGTGAATTTATATAGAAATCATCTGATCTCCAACTTCAAATATCTCAAGTTTTGCATAATTGTTAAACGAATGCCTTCATCTATGAATAAAATTTGTCTATTTAATCAGAGATAGATGGTGACATTCTAATAGGATTTCTGGGATTGATAATCATCTATTTTGCTTTCTCAATGTTGGAACAGATAAAGGTCAGTTGCTTACTTGTTTGGCCTATCTATTACATAATGCCTTGAAGTATGATAGCTATATAATATCCCATGCAAGCAAGCTTTAGTAAAATAAAACAACTGAAAAAGAAAGGGGTGAATGGAAAACATTGAAATTTGAAATTAAGAAAAGGAAAACATTAAGGTTTGCAAATTACAAGTCTTGTAGAAGTGAGAGCATAGCATCAGTAGAATTTACCACATTAGTAAACAGAGTTTCCCAATAGTCTGCAGCAGGGTGAGGGGTAAGTAGGGGCAGATTGTTGTTCAAAGGAGCAATGGGGTATTGCTGCAGCCTGGCTTTCTTCCTCACCTGAACTTCTTCCCCACACTCTTCAGCAGCAGTAAAGGAATTTTGTTGTTCAATTTCTTTGTCCTTACCAGCATTGTTTTGTGGATCAGCTACTAAGTTAAAGAAGAAATCATCATCTTCACCCCCAAGATCAAGATCAAGATCATCAAAAAGGTCAATCTCTTTGCCCTCAGCAGATGCAGATGAATTGGGAGAAGGGTTTAAGAACATCATCTCCCTCTTCTTCAAAAGCTGGAGTTTTGAATTCAAGACTTCCAAGCACCCTTCTTCACCAAACTCTTTCCTTTTCTTGCTTCTCACCAGAGTTTCGCCCCCTTGAGAGGTTGATGCAATCTCTTTGCCCTTAAAGAACTCAACCCTCTTGTTCAAAAGCTGCAGTTTTGAAACCAAAATCTCCCGGTGAGAAGTCTCGGGATTATCTCCTTTCCTTTTCTCGCTCTTAACCCTAGTCCTTTCCTTGCCGGCGTCGAGCAAAACCTTGACGTCGTTGAGTTCCGGGGGCCAACTCTCCAGTTTGCCGTCAGGGCTGAGGATAACAACACCTATTTTCAAATCGCACAATATTCCCAGCTCCTTGCTTTTCTTGATGATGGACGCTGCCCTCCTCTCATAGCACAATTTCTGAGCTTTCTCGCCCATGGCAACGCTACTCTTTCTTGGAGAACAAGGTGGTTTTACGAGGTTGTAAGACTCGGGTTTTAATGACTTTCGAATCACAACCTCTAGGTTCCTAAGATTCCTTATTTAATGTGAATACTAACGGGCCTAAAGGATATTTAGAAGCTGTCTTTAAATTGCATTAAAAAAAGTTAATAACAACAACATAGCCTTTTCACTTAGCAAGCAATAATTATGCTGTGCAACCGAAGTGCATACGATGCAAAACGACGTTATTTTGACTAAAAACGTGCATCTCACTTTAAAAAAAAAAAAAAAAATTAGGTTCGATTCTCGGCAATAGCATTATTGTGGATATATAGTTATGAATTTATGGATATTTAGTTCATTCATTGTGGATATTTAGTTCAATCATTGTGGATATTTAGTTCATTCATTGTGGATTTTTACTTCATTCATTCATTCATTGTGGATTTTTACTTCATTCATTCATTCATTGTTGATTTTTACTTCATTCATTTACTGTGGATATATAGTTATGAATTTGTGGATATATAGTTATGAATTTCTGGATATATAAAAATGTTATTGCCGGAAATCGAACCTGATTTCTTCTTTAAGTGTGACGCGCGTTTTTTTTAACCAAAACGGCGCCGTTTTGCAACCGTATGTACATTGTAAGGTGCATTCGGTTGCACTTTTGCGCTTAGCAAGTGAATGTTGAAATCTTGCTACCCAGGTATTGATAAATTAATAAGATCATGTGTTATTGTCATTCTTAACTTGTCTATGAAGCTATATTGTCACAGTATTGACAATATGGTACAATGCAACTATCCTATATATAAAAAAGCCAAACAGATTTCAGCTCCATTTTCCCGCCTAGCTTAAACGACAGCATTTTATGTTTTTATTTTTTGTTTTGCGTGTGCAAGCCTTAACGACGTCGTTATTATTATTTTCTTAGATTGGTGGTCAATCAGAAAGTTTTATTTGAATGTTGTCCAATCAGCTTTTGCGTATTCGAAACCTTTTCCTGACAACTTCAATTTAAAATTTTATTTTTAAAAAATTTCATTCCACTCCTATTCCCTGGTGCAAACAAACAGCCTATAAATAGACGTCCAATCAGCCTTTGCGTATACGAAACCTTTTACTGACAGCTTAATTTAATTTTTCTTTTTAAATTTCATTCCTATTTCCTAAGCACCTCTTCGTCTTTGTTGGTGCAAAGATACAGCCTATAAATAGATGGTGATATGGTGAAACCCACATCTACTCTGAAGGAGTATTCACTTTCTCCATTTTTGATATTTATGCACATTTGAAGGACTGAGTTTTTGTTCCTCCTTTGTTTTGCAGAAAAGGGAGACACGGGGAGGCAACGGTCAGCATGAACACATATGCTAAGAAAAGCTAATTGAAACCCTTTTTAAGGATTTCAATAGCATACCAAGCACACCACTGCATTAATTTCCAAGTGTTCTTACTGCAATTGACACCTGAAATTATTAAGAGCAAAGTATGATCATAGTAGCAATATATCTCAAACCCAAGTAAGTATGCATATTCTTACATTCTCAATAATAATGTGCTCATATATTAAATAGTTATCTTCTATTGTTGTCTCTTAGTTACTGAGTTATGTTCATCATATTCATGCATCTTAGTGAAACAAATATTCACTGGATCGATGGAATGATGAAAACCCTAATAATCTACGGAAGAAGAAGAGACAAGAGACAGAGAGCGGAGCTGTAACGTGGATTGCAAAATGAAAAAGGCCAAACGTTTAGCTCCATTTATACTTTGGGTTAGGGTCAGATATATGGGTTGGGCTTTACTCTCTTTAAATTGGGCTTAGACATATGTTGGGCTAATATAAAATTTGGATTATGAATATGTTGTCCAATCATTATTGTGTGGACCATGGTTCACACAAGTTGTGTGGACCATATTTTGTCTTCTGTAAAATAATGTACATTCAGTACAAAAGTAATGTACATTTAGTACAAAGATAATGTACATTGTATACAGGGGATGTACATTATTTTTGTTCTGAGTGTACATTATATTGTATAATGTACATTCAGTACAAAAATAATGTACATTTAGTACATTAAAAATGTACTTTTTGTTATAGTCCACATAACATTGTGTGGACCATGGTCCATACAATAATTTGCCTATGTTGTCAGGTTAGATCATAATATAAATTGTAAATAGGTTGGAAAGTATATATTTATTCGTCTTATTTGTATCATGACCTTAATAATACAAATAAATAAGCTAATATATATAAATATATATATATATATATATATATATATATATATATATATATATATATATATGTTTGTAATTTACTTATTTTCTTTGATTTCTTCGTATTATTTACAAAATGGACATTAATAATTAATGAATGCATATTTAATTATATATTATATATATTAATAATTACAAAGTCAATTAAAAATTATTTATATCAAATCAACATAATTATTATATGAAAAAATAAAACTCATATCCATTCATTAAATCTTATATATATATATTTTGCCCGTGCATCGCACGGGTAGATTACTAGTACTACTAAATAGTTTAAATATGTTTACATTGACAACAGCAAAGAGTTTTTTTGCACTTCTGGTCCCACGACTATAGTGGCACTAGCATAATTGATCAACGACTTTTGAGCCTTGCAATTTTAGTCCACGACTATTAATTTTTTTTTGCAAAAATGGTCCTTCCGGCCACTTTTCCGTCAAAATTTCACCGAAAAAAAAAATTCTTCATTTTTAGTCGGGCTAAAATTATTTTTGTAATTATATATATTTTTTATTTTTATTATGTTATGTTAGTATATAAAATAATTTTGTTTCTCAAGTTCAAGATTTTAGTTAATATTTTAAAATCATGTAATTATATATGATACCGTTATCTTATTTATTTATTTTAAATTTTAAATTTATTAAAATATATGAAAATATGTTAAGGATATTATAATGTGTATAAAAGATAACCCTAAACCAAACATCATTATATTGCATACCTCAATTTTAACCAAATACAGGAATTTAACATTCTCAGTAATCTAACATTCCCAGCAATCTAACATTCCCTAAGGTAATCTGACATTCCGTGAACCAAACGACCTCTAAATGGCATTAAAAAGCCTTTTTAGTTACTTAAATAATGTTTTAAAGAAACTCTTCAAAGCTAATCATTGTTCATTTATTATTAATTTTGTTTTTGTTTATTCCAAATATCATTCTTCTCAAACTTTATTCTTGTGCCTAACTGGGCTGGCCATACGAGCTTATTTCAAATTTCATATATTACCTACTAAAACGCCAAAAAAAAAAGTGTTAACTTATTTGTATTACAAGTTCAACATGATTATGCTAACATTCTTGATTGAGATAGGACTTAAACTTATGACCTTCTGTTTAAAATAGCCACGGTGATGTCATCAAACCACAAGGTACTTGGCAACTAAATATTTTTTTTATAATAAAAGAAACCAAATATAATATTTATATTTATTTTAACAGTCAAATTACTGTGTGGACCATAACAAAAAGTACATTTTTAATAGAGTTAATTCCCAAAATGATCATCTGACTATGGCTTTTTCTCAAATTGATTCCTTGACTTTTAATTGCAGCCAAAGTGGTCCTCTGACTATTGAATTTTAATCCAAAATAGTTCTCCGTTACATTTGGTGTTAAAATGAAAGGTAAAAAGAACATTTTATATTGCTTGTTGTTTAGAGCTTTGACCTCCGTTAGTCTAAGTATGTGCATACCACATCATCAAACTCCGATCCAATTCTTTGTAAATCAAGTTAAATACTTATTAGTCTGGAGAGCATTATCAGGCTCAAAGTTAATAACAACAACATGGCCTTTTCACTTAGCAAGTGAATGTTGAAACCTTGCTACTTAAGTATTGATAAATTAATAAGATCATGTGTTATTGCCATTCTTAACTTGTCTATGAAGCTATATTGTCACAGTGTTGACAATGGTATAATGCAACTATACTATTAAATAGTTTAAATATGTTTACATTGACAACAGCAAACAATGTACATTGACTATGGTTTTCAACTTTCTAGAGTACACTTAGCTCCACTAAGTGTGTTGGTAGTGTGCCTTCATTCCTTGCCCAGTCAATGCCTGTCCAAGTTTGTGATTGAATTACCTGAAATAACATGTAAACAAACTGCCAGATAGATATTGTAAATTATCACATAGAAATAGATAATAGAAAAGTCTAAGAATACTGCCATCATGGCAAACCAAAGTCCAACAGAAATGTTCAGATGCCACACAGGGCCAAAAACACAAGCCTGACAGTTGTTTCAAATGATAACAGGATCAAAATATTTTTTGACATAAAAAATTAGAATTCTATGCAATCTTCTCCTTTTCCACTTTCACCACCACTGGTTTGTTCTTTTTTTTTTTTTTTAGCTCTGTGTGGATGATAATTCATCCAGAAGACATCTTTTTATTGTACCACTGGAATCAACACTTTAGTTAATTCTAAGTCAATTAGATCCTTTATGTTATATTGACTAAGTATTTCAATTTAGTTTAGAACCAAACCTCATCATCGTCACAATCATCACTTGGTAGCAATATCTTTGAACTTAAATCCTTGCTTTGGGGTGTCAAGTGATTCAGGACAGTGGATTACAAGTAATGCACTGTCCTTCTCTAGTTTCAGAACGGGAAAAACATTTACAGCACGTTTGGTTCACGGAATGAATTTTGAGGTAATAGGAATGCTATTCCATAAGGAATGGAATAGACAAGGAATAGAATAGGAATTGTATTCTATTGTTTGGTTCGCGGAAGGAATAGACTTTATGAATTATATTACAGTGTTTGGTTGATTTAAGGAATAGAACTAAAATATGTTTTAAAAGACATAAATACCCTTATAAAAATATGTGATGGTGGCGGTGGTGGCGGTGGCGATGGTGGCGGGGGTGGCGGCGGGGGTGGTGGCGGTGGTGGCGGCGGCGGCGGTGGTGACGGTGGTGGTGATGGTGGTGGTGGCGGTGGTGCTGGGGTGGTAGTGGTGGGGGCGACGGTAGCAGTGGTGGGGGCGACGGTGGTGGTGGTGACGGTGACGGTTGTGGCAGTGGTGGTGGGGGCGGCGACGGTTGTGGCGGTGGTGGTGATGGTGGTGGCGGTGGTGCTGCTGGGTGGTGGTTCTGGTGGCGGTGGCGGCGGTGGTGGTGGCGGTGGCGGTGGTGGTGCTGGGTGGTAGTGGTGGTGGTGGTGGTGATGGTGACAGTTGACGATGACGGTTGTGGCAGTGGTGGTGGGGGCGGTGACGGATGTGGCGGTGGTGGTGGTGGCGGTGGTGCTGCTGGGTGGTGGTTCTGGTGGCGGTGGTGGTGGTGGCGGCAGCGGCGGTGGTGGTGGTGGTGGTGGTGGCGGTGATGGTGGTGGTGGCGGTGGTAGTGGTGATGGTGGTGGTGGCAGTGGTGGGGGCGGCGATGGTGGTGTTGGTGGTGGCGTCGACGACGACGGTGGTGAAATATGATAAATTTATATATAGGATAATAAAATTAGGTTAAAGAAAGGGGTAAAAAAGGAAATAGATTCTAAAATCTATTCCTGAGCGTTCAGTAATAGGCTAATACCAGGGGGGGCCCTAGTAATAGCTATTACCTTATTTGAGGTAATAGGCTATTACCAGGAATATTATTCCTGGTAATAGAAATGGTTACCAAACAACGGAATAGGCCTATTACTGTGAATGCTATGCCATTCCCGGCCTATTCCGTGAACCAAACGGGCCATTAGGGTGCTGTCAAACTGATCTTTTCTAGCAGCAATCTTGAACACAAATGATTGGCCAACCAAAGCTTTTAATTCCTTAGGCATCTTCCCATTTTCCTAAATATATAATAGAGTCACAGTTATACTTTAAATTTAATGAATTATGGTCATTTGAATGAAACTAATTTAGACATAACCTACCATAGGATATAAATCTTTCGTACAGCAAGAATGGGGCATTCCCAGTATTGCAAAAATCGCGCCTAGGCACTAGGTCCGTCTGGCCGTGGCGAGGAAGGCCGGAATCGGCCTACTCCACGGCCGGGCGGTTAGCTGGCTGAACCTGCCGTTTTATTTTATTTTATTTTTTTTTAGTTGTAAAGTGTTAAAAAGTTCGGTAAGGCATAATTTTTTACTCAGTTGTCTGGTTTGACCCTCTAATTTCTTCAAAAAATGCTTATTTTGCTCTTAATTTTAATTTTTTATGTATTTAGATGGTTTCAACAGTATTTTGAACGATTTTACAACCACTTATGTAAATAATTTGTAAGAAAAAACTAGGGGAACCTTATGTTTTATTAGTGAATTTTACCATTTTTAGTTTTTTTTTTTTTTTTTTTTTTTTTTTTTTTTTTTTTTTTTTTTTTTTTTTTAATTCTGCAAGGCATAACTTTTGACTCAGTTGTCCGGTTTGACCCTCTAATTTCTTCAAAAATGCTTATTTTGCTCTTAATTTTAATTTTTTTTATGTATTTAGATGGTTTCAACAATATTTTGAACGATTTTACAACCACTTACGTAAATAATTTGTAAGAAAAAACTAGGGGAACCTTATGTTTTATTAGTAAATTTTACAATTTTTAGTTTAAATTTTTTTAATTATTTTTTAAAAAATAAAAAATAAAATTAAAATTAAAAATCAGCGCCTAACGTATTTTGCAACATTGGGCATTCCCATTAACATTTACCACTCTCACTTTCAACCTATACCTCCAGATACCATCTGCCCATATTCTGCTACATTTGTCACATGAAAATAGGTCATTCTTAGGCACAAGTTTTTTGTTACAACCTTTTGACTTGCATGATTTGTAAGCACATGATAGCCTTCTATGTCAGCAATCTTTGCAGGGATCCAATAATCACCAAACTACAATAGGTAATAGACAATTGTGTTAGGTTTAGTTTTAAACATTCATCATGTAAATGAGTTAGATAATTGTTTACCTCCTTCCTTTCATACAAATCAGTAATGGTACTGATCACCATTCTGCCAAAAGTTAGATCTTCCCTTGTGTTACTGTAACTCAAGCTTGAAAATGATGTGATACCCCTTAATGGAGTCTGCTGAGCACATAGACTAAAAAGATAGGCAAAGTAAAAAGTATTAGCATGCATGTGTTTTACAAATAAAGCTTACCTCAGAATCGTGGGAGAGCATCTCCTGACTTTTAATCAGATCTCCTGACTTTTAATCAGACTACTAATCTCAGCCTGATCTTTATCACTTTTTTCGTATAATCAGGTTTGAAATCTTTTGCCAAGATGAACAAATGTGCCATTTTTACAGAATCTGCGATGTGCTTCTTTTTGAAGGAGATAGTGTAACGCTATTTTTTACGCAAAAGAAGAATGTAAGATGAGTTGAGGCTGGACTATATATTTATAGAATGATGAGGCCTAAAAGGGAGTTCAAAAAAGGATCAAACAGTAATGAATCAAAATAATTATGTTGCGCCGGTTATTATTCTCAGTAGGTGGCTGCGGCTGATGCTAGAGTTCAAATTGTAGTGTATTAAGTATTCTGTTATTATTTTATTATTTTATTTTATATTTATATTTTATATTTTATTATTATTATTTTAATTTAATTATTTTATTATTTTATTTAAATAATAAATTTAGAAATTTGTAATAAATATTTTGTGTTTATATTCGTTAGTCCTTATCAGAATATTAACTGCTTGGGATCAATTTCTAATGATTAGATTTGAAAAGTTAAATTTATGTACGTTATGTACCTAACCCACTATTGATATACGAAAGGATTTCTTGGAGAAAACAAATCTCAAAAGATCAATTAAATGATCGAAACAAAAAAAATAAAAAAATCACCTAATAATTAAAATTACATCGTTTTAGATGGGCGGGAAAATGCAGTCATTTGATTGGTCATGGTTATATGGTTTTATTATATAGAAAGATACCAAAGTTATTAACCTAGGCTCCCAAACATTCTTACTGCTCTGATACCAACTTTGTATCAGAGCGGAACCAATTATATTTCTTATGTCCAAGATTTGCATCCTACGGACATCCTCAATAGTGAGGATCTTAGTGTAGTTTTTGGAGGTGTGATTAGGAAAGAGAAATGAGTGAAAAGGGAAAAAAAAAAAACAAAATAAAAAACTGACAAAATCCCTACACAACCCCCAAAACACCTGACAAACTCCCAAGGTTTTACGAAGAATTGTCTGGAATATGGGGTTTTATAATGTCTTAAATGTCGCGAATCACAACCCACCAGGTAGAAGTTTCCCTTATTTAATTTTAATACTAATTAGTTGCTAACGGCCTAAACGATATTTGGAAGTTTTCTTTAAATTGCATTAAAAAGCCTTTTTAGTTAGTTAAATATCGCAAATTATACTGGTACACACGGTTGACGTCGTTTTGACTAAAAACGTGCGTCCCACTTTAAAAAAAAAAAATCAGGTTCGATTCCCGGCAATAGCATTTTTTGTGCATAATTTGAATTATATATCCACAAATTCATAACTATATATCCACAGTGAATGAATAACACAAAATCCAGAATGAATGAACTAAATATCCACAATGAATGAACTAAATATCCGCAATGATTGAACTAAATATCCACAATGGATGAACTAAATATCCACAATGAATGAACTAAATATCAACAATGAATGAACTAAATATCCACAATGAATGAACTAAAAATCCACAATAAATTAACAACATAATGCTATTAAGGGGAATCGAAATTGAATTTTTTTTTTAAATGGGACGCACGTTTTTAGTCAAAACGACGTTGTTTTGCAACCGTGTGCACCATGCATGGTGCACACGGTTGCACAGCATAACTATTGGTTAAATACGGAGTAATTTTTTAAGAAACTCTTCAAAGCTAATCATTGTTCATTTATTATTAATTTTGTTTATTCCAAATATCATTCTTCCCAAACTTCACCCATGTGAAAAACTGAGCTGCACATGCAAACTTATTCCAAATATCATATATTACCTACTAAAACCCCATAGTTAAAGGCATTCAAAGATTTGGTTTGATATCAAATTAATACCAAACCAAAAAAAAAAAAAATTTTGTTAACATATTTGTATTATAATTTATAAGTTCAACATGATTATGCTAACATTATTGACTGAAATAGGACTTAAACTTATGATCTTCCGTTTGAAATAGCCACGCACAATGATACCATCAAATAACAAGGTACTTGGCAATCAATTTTTTTTTATTTTTTTTGCAACTAAAACTTATGGTTCTGGCTCGACCAAACCCGTCTGGAACGAGCATTTCATCGTCTCTTTCACGCAATCGCCATAGGAATTTGCGGATCGCCGAAAAACTCAAAGATCCGCCACCTACAAATCCACCGTAAACACCTTCTTTGATCAAATGATGGAGCTGAAACACCTACTCGATCGCCTTCTCGACACCAATCCAGAGACTCGCATCACGGTGGAAGAAATTAAAACCGATCCATGGCTCCGCAAAGAGTACAACTAAACACATTCGATCTCATCTCCTTCTCCTCCCGACTTCAACTTGTTCGGTATATTCGATACTCACAGCGGCATCACCGACACCGAACGGAAGGATCGATAAAATCGTCTATGGTATAGAGAGGATAGCTAGGGTGGAGGGATTGATTGCAAAACTCCATTAGGTAGAGCATCATGCTGATAACGTATTGTGAAATGAAGAAAAATTATAAGTAACCAAGAATAAGAAAATACAGAGAGATTATAGAGAAAAGGAGGATCATCTTATTCATCAACAACCATTCTTCTACAAAGGTGTATATATATATATATATATATATATATATATATATATATATATATATATATATATATATATATAGGCTTCGAATCTGGTGCACCCCTCTAATAGATGAGACCATAAACCTCTTTATATCCATTGATTCATTTTCCATGAATGGTTGAGATTATAAGAGATTATGGTAGTAATTAAGGATATTTTTCAATGTAAAGGATATATTAGTAATTGTAATTCTAATTTATTTATGGACATAATACTATTGGAATCTGCAGCATTAAATTAGGGAGTTTATGGATGGAAATTAATACTTTGAATTACTACAAAGGCTGATGAGGTGAACTTGGCGTGAACAAGGCTTGAGAAGAAAACGAAGGGCTAAGTGCATTTACGTGCCATCGTCTGTGCATACGCTGAATATTGGGGTTTTTTCCGCTGGGATGGTGGGAGGGGGGTGGGGGGTGGTGGACGAACTAGAATATCTGTTATGTGCGTATGGTGTGCGTGTTCAGGTGGTTGCATACAGGTCTGTTTGTGAAACCGATAGGTTGACGGGAGGATGCATATACAACCATGAGTGTATTTCGCCTGTGAAAGATTGTGAAAAAAAAAAAATAATCACAACCACAATCCTTATAATATGCAACCACTATATGCACAGGCCTTTTCTTGTGCGTGATTTCTTGTGGTTGGCTTGTTTTACAAGGAATATATTGTAAAAATTAATAGATTTTCTTTTTAATTTATTTTACGGTGGTGTGTGCATTTGTATGATTTGGCATTTGCAAATTTTTGAAAAATGAACTTAGTATCATGTCATTTTTTTAGTTTTGTTTTTACACTGGTGTGTAAATTTTGGCAATGGAACTTTGCATTATGTGGTCTATTGTACACGTCATAACACTCCAATGCACACACAAAATACAAAAAAAACAAAAGCATATGAAGAAATGCAAAGGTCATGCGCTTTTATATTCTACAAGCAATAACATAAAAAAAAAAATCATGCTTTATATACATTTGGAAAAAAAAACCAACAAGAACTAACGCACACACCATACTATAACAATGCACACACTGCTGTAAGATT